GTTTCTGTCTCTTTCTTTCCCTTTCCCATCTCCCTTCTTCTCTGAAATCAATATCAATTTTTATTTATTTAAAGGAAAGGGATGGAAAAAAATATTTCATGCAAACAGAAATGGAAAAAAAAAAATTGATTTAAAAATAAAGGCCATAACAAGACCAATCTCAGGCAACAGATACCTGCAATTGAACCAGCCCAGACCTCCTGCCTGGGGAAACTCAAGGCATCCAAGGACTGCTCTGCTCTCAGTCACCAACTCCTTAGCCGTCACAGGACCCTGTACATCCCTGATGGCTTGGTTTACGTCTCCCCACTGGACTGAGAGCTCCCTGAGGGCCTGGTGGGGTCTGGCTTGGTCATCTCTGAGTCCCCAGCTCCCAGCTGGGCATCAGTTATAGTGACCTACCTCATTTCCAATATTTTGGCTCTATACTGGAGAAGCTGAGAGATGACACTGCCTGCATCCTTCCCAGGCTTACTCACCTCTCCCACTCCTCCTCGGCTTCCTCAGCAGTGAGCGTCCGGTGCCGGGCCAACGGCGTGAAGTTGTACCAGTTGTGGACTGGGAAAGCTTCAAAAGCCCCGTCAGGGCACTGGGTGAAGATATAGTAGGACGTGTTCTCTGTCACACCTCCCTTCTTTATACCCTTGAACCTGCAAAGAGCCATGGTCACAGCCTGTGTCCAGAGAGACCCGCCCTGGTTCACCATGCCCCTAGGCCTGTCCCTTCTACAGAGCCACCTGGTTTCTCTGAGCAAAATCAGAGGCTGGGAGGCCTTGGGCTAGCTCTTGGACTATCTGAGCCTTGATTTCAAAATCTGGAAAGCAGGGCCAGTGCTCCTCACCCTGTAGAGTGGGCTCAGGGCTTCCCCCATTTTACATATCATGGTCCTTTCATGGAAGGAAATGTTAGATAACCTGAAGAGCACAGGCCCTGCAGTCAGACCTCTCTGACCTGCCTCCAGGCTGCTCCTTGGGCCTGAACCACTGTGAGCATCCTCCTGGCTTCTGCCCTCACACTCTTCCCACACTTAGAGTGCCCCTTCCTTGCTTACCCCCTTCAAGGTGGCCCCTGGATATATATGAACAGGACAGGCGCCCTTAGGACTCTTACACAAGCACCAATTTTATTTACCTTTAAAAATAAAACCCCACAAAAGAGATAAACCAAAGAACTTATATGCAGAGCCCCAAACATGGGCAATAGGGTGGTGAAGACCTTGGGGGGGAGTGGGTAGGGCTGGGCTGAGGTGAGTAAAGGAGGGTAAAATGGGAGACATCTGTAATACTAACAATAAAATATATACACTGAGTAGCCAGATTATTATGATCTCTAAATACATAATAATCTGGCCACTCAGTATATATATTATATTAGAGGCCTGGTGCATGAATTCATGCATGGGTGGGACCCAGCCAGCCTGGCCAGGGGGAGGGGACATGGGCGGTTGGCCGGCCTGCCTTCTGGTCGAACTCCTGGTTGAGGGGACAATTTGTATATTAGCCTTTTATTATAGAGGATATACACTGAATGGCCAGATGGTTATGTGTTCAGAGATCATAATCATCTGGCTACTCAGTGTATATGTTAAAAAATAGAAGGAATAAATAAATAATAAGATAAAACCCCATGATGGAGGACATGCTGTCACCTGCACTGTGCATATGGGGCGTACAAGTTCTGAGAGAATACCTCACAAAGGGAGGGCATGAGGGAAGAGGAGGGTGGGCACTGCTGCCATCACCACTTACTTCCTGCCGGACTTGCCATTGACTCGGAGCAGCCAGGGCTGGTCCTCAGGTCGGAACTCCTTGAGAACAATGCCGTACTTCTTTCTCCGAGCCTCCTCCCGAAGCTTGCGGTTAAACTCACTGCCTGCACCGGACTCAGGCATCTCCTCCTCTTGGTAAATCTTCTTGTTGCTCAGATCTCGCTCTAGCCGGGCCTGGGGGAACAGGGTGGGGGAAGCAGGAAACAAAATCTCTCATCAGGGAACCTGCTTTTGCTCAGGCTATGCCCCTACCCCTAAGAATACCCTTTATTCGCTCCACGCTGAGCTACAGACACTCCAAGTCAACTTTCTTGCTTAGTAAAAAAAAAAAAAGTAGAAAGTCGGCGCTTAGTGAATGTGAGTGAAGGGATATGGGCAAGCTTTGTACTGTATCTGTGCAGCTTTTTGAAAGTTTGAAATTATTTCCAAATGAAAAAAACGCACAAAAAAAACAAAAAAACAAAAAAAACACAGTAAGTTCATAGTGGTAGTAAACAGAAACAACAAGCCCTAGCCAGTTTTGTTCAGTGGATAGAGTGTCGGTTTGCAGACCAAAGGGTCCCTGGTTCAATTCCAGTCAAGGGCACGTACCTCGGTTGCAGGCTCCTCCTGGCCCAGGGCCCTGGTCAGGGCTCATGCAGGAGGCAACCAACTGACGTGTTTCTCTCACTTCAATGTTTCTCTCTGTCTTTGCCTCTCTCTTTCACTCCCTAAAAAAAAAATCAATGGGAAAAATATCCTCAGGTGAGGATTAACAATGAAAACAACCTGTTTGCCTGGCTGGCGTGGCTCAGTGGTTGAGTGTCGACCTATGAAGCTAGAGGTCCCGGTACTGATTCACCGTCAGGGCACATGCTTGAGTTGCAGGCTCAATCCCCAGAAGGGGGCATGCAGGAGGCAGCCAATCAATGATTCTCTCGTGTCATTGGTGTTTTTATCTCTCCCTCCTTCTTCCTTCCTCTCTGAAATTAATAAAAATATATTTTTAAAAGAAAATAAAACAACCTGCTTGGAATTGGCCTTCCTCTCTCTGCATTCGACTCTGGGCTGCCCCATGAATTCAGAAACCATTAAAGGCCGAGGTTTTCCAAATTTTAACCTCTGGACAATTTAACAGTAGATATTATTTTAAATATGTACATTTATAATTCTGCCCTGGCCCTCACCCCTCAATATCCAATCCATCAACAAACCCTGTCAGCTCCACCTCCAAAACCCACTATAGTTAAATCATTTCTCATCACCTGTGTCCCATCATTGCTCACCAGGACCACAGCTATCACCTCTACCCTGCTTCATCTGCCCTCCACTCTACAGCAGCCAGATCACTTCACAAAACCCCCACTGAAAACCCTTAATGGCTTCTGCTATAGACTGAATGTTTATATCTTCATCTCAAAATGCATATGTTGAAACCTAACACCTGCAGATGGTATCTTGGGTGGAGCCCTTATACCAAAGGGTTCCAGAGAGTTCCTTTGCCCCTTCCTAGAGGGCACAGGGAAAAGAGTGCTGCCTATAAACTAAAATCGGGTCTTTCCAGACACCAAATCTGCTGGTGCCTTAATCTTGGACTTTCAGCCTCCTGAGCTGTTTATATGATGACTGTTGTTTATATGATGTTCTTTTAGAGCAGCCCCAACAGACTGAGACAACTCCCAAAGGCCTTACAGTGGGGACTCTGAGACCATCTGTAGGATGTGGCCTCCTCTTTTGCCCAGAAAAATCTAGGCCCAAAATGCCCATCAGTGGGGCACACTTTCTAAATGTTCTCCTTTCAGGAGAAGGCTTCCTGCAGGGCCTGACAAGTTTTACTCAGAGCCCAGCAGCTCAACCTGTACTTTAGTTGTCACTTATCTCCACTGGGGAAGCTCTGAGGAAACAAACTTAATTACTGTCACAGCCACAACACTCACAATCAATTCTCATTCCCCTGAGAACCGGGACTTACCTGATTCCAAGTAGCGAAGTTGACTTTATCAGCTGCATTGAAGGCCATGATGTTATATTTTTTGGTTGTGTTTCTGGAATGATCAGGAAGAGGTAGTGCTCAATCCATCATTCAACAAACCCTCCACGGTTCAGCCCTTTGTGACAGGCAATCCTGAGGACCCTTAAAACATCCCAGAGGTCCCAAGTCTGTCAGGGAAGCCAGATCCATACTCTCACCCCATGCAGAAAAAGGTACAAAGATTTAGGGGAAACAAGATGAATAATCGGGAACTCAGTCCTAGGCAGGAGGGAGGGCAAGCAGAGAATGCTTCCTGGAGGAGGAAAATACTGGAACTGGTTTTGGGGACCAACAAGAACCCACCAGCAGTCACGGCTGGGGAAAAAGCATTCGTGGCAGAGGGAATATTAGGCCACGGGCCGCATCGCTTGCACATTAATGTACTCATTCATTCATTCCACTCAAAAAACAGTGATGCCCCAGAGAGTCCTCAGCTCACCCGGCCCTGCCCTCAAGTCGCTGCCAGTCTGGAGGATGACTCACAGGCAAGGCAGCGCCTGGCATGCCTAGAGGCTCTTAAAGGTTTCAATTGTTAGGGGAATGGGTGTGTGTGTGTGTGTGTGTGTGTTAAGACTTACTTGGGAACTCGAACCACATACTCAGTGACATTCTGGCTGCCAGGGCCCTGCGCGGAGAAAAAGCGGAACGGTGGGTGAGGGACTGAGGGACTGATGGCCGAGGCCGTCGGAACCCCCGGACTCCGCCTCATACTTACGAAGGCCGCCATGGGCAAGGGTCGGTGGTTCGAGTCTGGTCCAATCCGTGCTCTTTTCGCCTCTCCTGCGGCCCGCGACCCTCAGGCCGGGGAAAGCCGCCTTCGCGGGATCGGGTCTTCGGCCCCGATCGAGGGCCCCAAGTCCCAGGTGCCACCGATCCTGAGCAAAACTACCCGGAAGCGCTGCTGAGTCTGCGGTCCGCCTCAGTGGCCGCTCCTAACACAGCCGCGCCTGCGCCTTAACCTGAGAAACTCTCCCGCGGACGGCGGACCGCGGCCTCCGCCTTCGCCCCGGGACCCCAGTGAGCGGTCACCTAGCCTCCTGGCGCCTTGCGGAGCAGAGAACCAGCCTGGCTCAGAGGTAACTACCTTCTGGAGTGCGGACGGCTGCTGACCGCTTTATATAACGCGGTTGATCCGCTCGTGACGCAAGCACGTCCTTGCGTGACGCCAGCACGCAAAAGGCAGCGGGGCATTCTGGGAGGGGAAAGAGAAACCAAGCACTGACTGTCCCGCCCCATTACGGAAGTGAGTTCCAGGAGGCCGCGTCACCATAGCAACCGAAGCCTCAGCCACGCCGCGCAGCCGCGGCACCACTACCTCTTTGGAGTTCGTTTCTTCTCCCTGCCCCGGGGCTGGGGGAGAGACACATCACCATCCTGCTAAATGATTGGGCCAGGTGCCCTTGTGAAGTTGAGCCGAGCCGGAAGTGGTCAGGGCCAGAGAGGAGAGGGGGCGCGGTAACCCCCCAGGCCGCAGGCAGGACGGGTCTGTCCAAGTCTAAGCTGCCCCGGATGGGCAGACCCCCGAGGCCCCAGGAGAACGGTAACATCGTGGGGATGGCAGGCTTACTGGGGGAAGGAAAGGAGGCTATGGAGGGCAGGAGGGAGGTACAGGTACCCCACCGCATCCGACCAGGTGTGCACAAGCTCCTCGCACACAACATAGTAGTAACACAACTGAGCATGCTCACAGATCAGCCATTCGTTAGTCCACTTGAGCATCTGCTGTGCTGGGTTGAGGGCGGTCCACCGTGACTGTCAAACCAGCTCCCTGTCCTCTTGGAGATGACAGTGTAGTCGAGGAGACCGTCTTAGAAAACGGTGCCTACAACTCAGGAGATGTCAAAGAAAAAGCAGAGCGGGCTCTGGAGGCTTAGAGAAGAGGGGAGGTTTAAGCTGGGCCCTTTGGGTTGCTTAGGAGTTGGCCAAGCAAAGGCAGAGGGAAAGCGGGACACTAAAATTGCATCATAAACTACAACACCCCATAGGCTCCTCACTCACTGCTGTTATGTCAGGAACTGTAAACTACTAGAAATAGAGGGACAAATGAAACAGATATAGTCCTTGCCCTCATGGTGTACACTGGTTGGGAGGCAAAAGACAAACAAACAACAACAACAGCAAAGACAAAGTCATCACTGATCATTGCTGTAGAGGAAATTGCATTCCAACACAGGGATGAGGGGTTCGACCTGAAAGCGCTGATGTAGGGATTTCCCAGGAATGAGGGGAATGAGCTTGGCAGTTTAAGGGACAGAAAGGAGACCAGTAGGCTACTGGGGCTGGACCAGAGTAAAGGAAGGGGAGGGTGATATGGGATGAGTCTGGGGGATGGACAAGTCCCTTCCCCCTATCTGAGCCACAATGTCTTTAACTGTGAAATGGGATGATAAGAGTTATTATGATGCTTCAAGGAGATGCTGCATGCAAGGGGCCTAACCTGCCCTGGTTCACATCCTTATCCACAGAATCCACAGCAGCAGTAATGTATGCTATGCCTGGAAACACCACTGGGCCTGAATACCCACCCTCAGATGTCATCCTAGGACAAAAGTGGGTTTGCCACCAGACCTGTGTCTGGTATCACCCCAAGGACATGCACCGAGCTGTGGATACAGCTCTACAGGCACCAGCGACTCTCCCTCTGGGCACCACAGACATCCTCAAGTCTCCCCATCTTTGTGATGGGTGGCCCAGGCTGCGACAAAGGGACGCAGTAGAACAACAAATCACTATTTCTCTCTCTCCCTTCCCCTCTCTCTCTAGAATCAAAAAAATTTTTAAAAAGAAGGTGTGCCCCAGCTAGTTTGGCTCAGTGGATAGAACATCAGCCTGTGGACTGAAGGGTCCTGGGTTTGATTCCAGGCCAGGGCTCATGCCCAAGTTGCAGGCTTGACCTCCAGTAGGGGTCGTGCAGGAGGCAGCTGATCAATGATTCTTCCTCATGATTGATATTTCTCCCTCTCCCTTTCTGGGGGAAAAATAAAAAAAATTTTAAAAAAATTAAAAAAAAAAATATATATATATATCCGTATTTTATATATATCCGTATTTTTCGGACCATAAGACGCTTCGGACCATAAGACGCACCAGTTTTTAGAGAAGGGAAATGAAGAAAAAAAGATTCTGAAACAAATAGTGTCCTAAAATATTTTATGTGCATTAAAACCCAACATCACAGTCATAAACACATGTAATCAACCCTGTAAAGTAAACAGCAGCATTTAGAACCATTTTAGAGCCGGGCAAGCACACAGAGACCACACAGAGCCGGGCAAGTAAAAAAACTTTTTTTTTTAAAGTATATGTGTAGGCTATATTTGGACCATAAGACGCAGGGACATTTCCCCCCCCACTTCTGGGGGGAAAAAAGTGCGTCTTATGGTCCGAAAAATACGGTAATATATATATTAAAAAACAGTAAATCATGTGCTTGGGTGAGAAATAAAAAAAAAGAATGACATCTAACCCTCACCACACTGCTGCTGCAAGGTCCAGCTGCTCTCCCATTTTACAGATGAGGACACAGAGGCTCAAGGCAACAAAACAGTGCTGAGGTGGGGAGCTTCCACAGGGCCTTTTCCAGAAGTCTCGATGTATCCTCTCCTTCCCTTTACCCCTGCACACATGAACTCTCACCCTGGGCACCAGGAGCCCCTGCAGCATGATGTCACGAATCTTCCATACCTGTTAGGTGTTGCCTTGGGTCTCCTGCCCCAGCAGCTGCTCCAGCCCCACATGGTAGAACCTATAATTAGTTGCCATGTTCTTTCTAAAAAGTTTTTTTTTTATTATTGATTTTTAAAGAGAAAGGGAGATAGATACATTGATGAGAGAAACATTGTTGGCTGTCTCCTGCATGCCCCTAATGGGGATCGAGCCCACAGTCCTGGCATGTGCAGCATGTCCGAGAACTGAACCAGTGACCTCTTGATTCATGGGTTGACTCTCAACCACTTAGCCACACTGGCTGGGCAGTCACAATGTCCTTGCACTGCATCCCTTTGTCACAGCCTGGGACGCGGGACAAATTGTTAAAAATCGGGACTGTTCCGCCAAAAGCGGGATGTCTGGTCACCTTATTATAGGGGTATTTACCTACCCTGCCTTCTTGGTTCTCCTCCAGTATTGTTGTTGTTTGAAACCTGTGATTGCATAAACACACTCTGTTTGCCAAAGCCTAAGGAGGCGGAAATCAAAACCTCAGGTGTACATTTCTATGATACATGATCTTTAGTATATTGTGGTACAGCCATTATGGAAAATGCATGGAAGTTCCTCAGAAAATTAAGAAGAGTTATCATGTAATTCTGTTAATTTTTTATCGAGTTTTATTGGGATTACATTAATGAACAAAATTATACAGGGATCAGGTATGCAATTCTATAGTGCATCATCTGTATATTGTATTGTGCGTTCACCGCTCCCAAGTTATTCACTCTTACCATCAGTGAGGTTGAGCATCTTTTCCAAAGTTTAAGGTTCATTTCTTTTTTTTTTTTTCTTTTTTCTTTTTTTTAATATATATATTTTATTGATTTTATACAGAGAGGAAGGGAGAGAGAGAGAGAGAGAGAGCTAGAAACATCGATGAGAGAGTCATCGATCAGCTGCCTCTTGCACACCCCCCACTGGGGATGCGCCCGCAACCAAGGCACATGCCCCCGACCGGAATCGAACCCGGGACCCTTCAGTCCCCAAGCCGACGCTCTATCCATTGAGCCAAACCGGTCCTGGCAAGGTTCATTTCTTTTGTGCATGCATATCTTTTGCTTTTTTCCCCCCTAATAGATTTTTGGTCTTTTTAATTTCCAGGAATTCCTTATGTATTAGGGTTATTAGTTATTTGTGATATATTGCAAATATTCCCTATCTTCCAGCTTGTCAATAATCTTTTTAAAAACATATATATTTCATTGATTTTTTACAGAGAGGAAGGGAAAGGGATAGAGAGCCAGAAACATCGATGAGAGAGAAACATCCGTCAGCTGCCTCTTGCACACCCCCTACTGGGGATGTGCCTGCAACCAAGGTACATGCCCTTGACCAGAATCAAACCTGGAACCCCAGTTCGCAGGCCGGTGCTCTATCCACTAGGCCAAACTGGTTAGGGTTGTCAGTAATCTTTTAACTTGTTTTTTTTGTTTTTGTTTTTGTTTTTACATGCAAAAGTTATCTTAAATTTTTTTTTAATCAAATTTGGGTATTTTCTGTTAATTCTTTTGGATTTTGATATATAGTTGTTTGTTTTTTCCTAATACTGGGTTTATAATGGAATTCTATGGTTTTTTTAGTACTTGTGGGATCTATTTCTTACATTTCTCGATCCATTTGGAAGTTCTCCTAGTTTTTGGAATGAGGTAAGGATTCAATTTGAACTTTTTCCAAATTGCACCCCACTTGTCCCAATATAATTTAATTAAAAGCCTGTCCTTCCTCCATTGAGGCAGTCAGTCTAGCCATATACCAATTTTCCACATTCACTGAACTTTCCACTCTGTCTTAGGACTGGGTTTATCCCCTTGTGCACTGCCTTTTTTTTTTTTTTTTTTAATGAGGTGGCTTTATTTGGTTTTAGTATCAGCTGGGCTTGAATGCTCTTCTGCCTCCCCAAGTTCTTCTGGCCATTCTTGCTTGTTTTTGTATATGAATGTTAGAAGCAACTCAACTGGACTACAAAAATGTCACATTTGGATGACATAATTATAAACTAATTTAAGGACTCTTGGTTCCTCTGAAATATTTGAATCTTCTTAACCAAGAACATTTATATATACCTTCTGTTCAAAGTTCTTCTCACTTAGGAATGTTTTATTCAAGTTCCCCTTGATTTTCATTAGGACTTCGCACAATCAGAAATGTTTGGCCTAGTTTGTATTTTATTTTTGTTGCTATTGTAAATGGGGCCTTCTTTCCCAACTGGTGATTTTTGTATACATATTAGCTATATTTTTAAATGTCTTTATTGATTTCAGAGAGAGAGAGAAACATTGATGACAGAGAATCATTGATCAGCTGCTTCCTGCATCCCATGCCCCCTCCCCCCACCTTGGGGGGGGGGGATATCAAGCCTACAACCTGGGCATGTGCCCCGACTGGGAAACAAACTATGACCTCCTGGTTCATGACTCAACCACAGAGCCACACCAGTCAGGCCATGTTGGCTATTGAATTCTGTATGTCAATGCTACATCCTGTTACTTTACCACATTTTTTAAGTCTGTTTTATATGATTTTGAATTTCCCAGAAATATAACCACATCATCTGCAAATATACATGGTTTTACCTCCTTCTTTCAAACTCAAGATTTATCAAATTGCTTTCTATTATCTCTTGCTTTAGCTAATCCTCTCATACATTACCAAGTCACAGTTGCAAGAATGGGCAGTTTTGCCTTGTTCCCTACTTTAGTGCGGAAGTAAGTTTCCATTAAATAAGATGCTGGCTGAGGAGATATTTATCAATTCCTATTTTTTTTTCTATTTCAAATTCTAAGAGAAAGTTTATTTAAAAAGTTAGAGGTAGTAGAACTGAGCCAGCTGGGTTGTGTAGGCTCAGGAAACAGGTTAGAAAAGCAAAAGAAGGGCCCTTGGAGCTTAAGAGAGACAAAGGTAAAAGTAAAGAGCCTGGTGGGGAGCCAGAAGAGAGGGAAGGAAAAGTCGGGAGCACTCCTCTCTCTCTGTTTTGTGGTGTTTTTAAATCCAGAATGCATGCTTAATTTTGTCAAATGTTCTTTCTGTGTTTATGAGGATAATGATGACTCTTCTTGATGTTATTACAATAAATTATATTGAACCATCCTGGCTTTCTTGGAATGAATCCCACTTGCATGTAATTTTTTAAAAAAACATGCTTTTGGATTCTATTTTACAAGCAAATTCTGGAGAAACTAGGAGGTGGAGGATCCTTCAAGTGGGTGGCCATCATGTTTCAGGAATGCCTCCCTAAAGTGGGACCATCAAGGTCAGCAGTGTGGACAGTAGTGAGCTGGGTATTTTTTTCTTTAATGTATTTTTATTGATCTCAGAAAGGAAGGAAGAGGTAAAAAGAAACATCAACGATGAGAATCATGGATTTGCTGCTTCTTGCACACCCGGATGTGTGCCCTTGACCGGAATTGAACTTGGGACTCTTTTTAAAAAAATATATATTTTATTGATTTTTTTTACAAAGAGGGAGAGGGATAGAGAGCTAGAAACATTGACCAGCTGCCTCCTGCACACCCCCTACTGGGGAAGTGACTGCAACCAATGTACATGCCCTTGACCGGAATCGAACCTGGGACCTTTCAGTCCGCAGACCGACACTCTATTCACTGAGCTAAACCGGTTTCGGCTGAACCTGGGACTCTAATCTGCAGGCCAATGCTCTATCCACAGAACCAAACCGGCCAGTTGAGCTTAGTACTCTTGTACCTTCCCCAGTGAAAGTGTGTGGGCAAGAAGAAGGCAAGTGAAAACCACTTAAATCTTACCTAAAAAGGAATATTTCAATCTAAATACCCATTCATAGAAACTAGTTATTAAATTATGGTATACCGACACAATACTACAGTGGTTAAAAAGAATTATTCTCCTTATGTGTCAATATAGAATCAGCTGTAGTCATATTGAGTAAACTGGCAAATCAGTGTCTTCACTATTATATTAAAAGTGGAAAAAGAGTACCAGAACTGGACTTGTTTACACATTACATGCCTAAAATAGCTACAAAGGGAGACACACAAAAAAACAGAATACTTGGTTGCTTCCAGGAAGGGTGAAACTGGGTGGCTGGGGACAGTGAGGTACACTTCACTTTTTCCTGTTAGTGTAGTTTGGCATAGTAGCTTTGCAACTGTCCTACTTATCAAAAAAACAACCACCAACCAACCAACCAACAACAACAAAAAAATCATGTAGGACAAAAACTTGAAACTAAAAAAATATAAAGGTGGACCGAAACCAGTTTGGCTCAGTGGATAGAGCGTCGGCCTGCCGACTGAAGGGTCCCGGATTCGATTCTGGTCAAGGGCATGTACCTTGGTTGCAGGCACATCTCCTGCTGTCATTGCAAGCCAGTAGGGGGTGTGCAGGAGGCAGCTGATAGATGATTCTCTCTCATCGATGTTTCTAACTCTCTCTCTCTGTAAAAAAATCAATAAAATATATTTATAAATAAATAAAATAAAAAGGTGGAGCAACAGGCAGATGTCTGTGAGTTGGCCATCCACCAGCACCTAGAGAAGCACATCCTGTGTGAGCCCTTCCTGACCCTCTACCAACAGAACCTGCTCCTAAAAGCCTTTCTGGCCTCCATTGTGCAGAGATCCTGCTTAAAATAGCACAGGAGCTTACGCTACAGCCCCAAGTATCTCCAGGCCTCAGTCGATCCACATACATTGGGAAATGAAATTTCCTCCATTAAGCAGTACAGGTGCAGGCTATGGCCTCCCAGCTATGACATTTAAGGTCTAAATAAAATACTGGCCCCAAAACTGTAAATACATTTTAGAACATATCTACATGAGATTATGACAACTTGCCAACCACAGCTCAATTCAAAGCTATATACAATAGATTCGTAAGGTGGAAAGTAGGGATAACTGTCCCGGCCAGTGTGGCTGAGCAGTTGAATATCGACCCAAGAACCAAGGTCGCTGGTTCGATTCTGGGTCAAAGCAGATGCCAGGGTTGCAGGCTTGATTCCCAGTAGGGGTGCATGCAGCACACAATTCCTGTAGTTTGCAGTTATAAAAAGAGACCTTTGGTGATGTTTCCATCACTGACTGAAAGTAGGAAAAAGCAATGAGGCTAAAGGAAGGGAGAGCATCTCTATATAGCTTGTGTGGCTGAGTGACCAGTAATAACATGAAATCCTGTTTTAACCCAGCCTCCCTGACCCATTTCCCTCACTAGTCCTAGGACTGTCCCTCCTGATTCATCGGCAAATAAAACAGAGGGCTGGCCCTAGCTGGTTTGTCTCAGTGGCTAGAGCATCAGCCTGCGGACTAAAGGGCCCTGGATTCTAGTCCGGTCAGGGGAACACATGCCTGGGTTGCAGGCTCGATCACCAGTAGGGGCTGTGCAGGAGGCAGCCAATCAGATTTTCTCATTGTTGATGTTTGTCTCCCTCTCCCTTCCTCTGAAATCGATATATTTAAAATAAAAATTAAGAGGCCCGTAAAATTGTTTTGCCCTTGTCTATGGGTGGAGGGCAATAGTGCAGCTGTGACTAAGAACTGACTCCCTTCCTCCCACTCCTCCAGACCTTGACAAAAGCTACAGAAAACTTTGCTAGGTGCTGCTGTCATTGCAAGCCTGTAGAGATGGCAGGGGGCTGGAGGCTGATTCTCCCTCATCCCAGTACCAGCACAGGGCTAAGGGAGTGTACTGCGTGCAAGGTGAGCCCAGGATTCTAATCTAACCTGTCCACGTGACCCTAAGCAATAGCATCCCTCTTCTGGCCCTCTGTACAAGGTGGGCTTTCTGGAGGCCATCAACTCCTACAGGGACTAGTTCCTAACAAATGTGGAAGGTCACAGGGCTGTGAGTGGTCCCATCTAGAGGCAACACTGTTGCTGGCCTCTGCTTGGTGTTGCCACTTAAGCCTCTGGACCCAGGTAATCAGATTCAGAATGTGAGACCTGATAATTTTAAGTGTTAATAGTCAACCGTAAATCCAAATGGAACACTCCTGCTATACCATGTGCAAGATGACTGTCCCTGGACCAGACAGGTCAAGTAGCCCCTTAATTTACTCTCCCATCTCCTGACATCCTTGGGAGGCCATAGCCTGCCACCAAGCACTCGAACTGGTGCAATTTCCATGGACAGAATAGGTTTCCACCTCGATTCTCCAATGAGAGCACATGTACCAAGGCCAGGCCGATTCTGGTGAGGCAGGCCGCATCCATGGGAACGCAAGCCCCTGGGGATCATTCTGGGTGCTTTGCTACCCAAGTTCCCAGAGGAAAGAACAGGGTGCATCCACAGCGATATGGCCTTTTCCTCCCAAAACAAAATCAGAGGGTAGAGTCTTTGGATGGGGCTAGTACCCCACTCTTATTAGCCAAGCCTTGTTCCTCTAAAAAACACAACTGCGGCCAGCACACTCTTTTAGACAAAAAGCACTTTATTTAACAAAAAAGAAAAAGAAAAAAATGGGGTAGGGAAAGAAAAGTTATAGGAAAGTACAACGTGCCTGCTGAAACTATTTTATATTTGTTTTCTTAAAAAAAAAAAAAAAGAAAGAAAAACCAACAAAAAAACACAACACAAAGCTCGTGATTTCCAATCACCATTACCAGGCTTTACAACATCTATGAAGAACAAACATCTGCTTCAAAGTCCTATGGGGGCAGGTAGGGAACAGAGAAAGAGAGACGGCACCCAGCAGACATGGGGAGGTTTTGTTATCATTTATTTGTGAAGTTAAAAACGAGCGATAAAAAGTAAAAACTGCCATACAATTTTTTTTTTGTTTGTTTTGTTCTCAATTTGTTTTCAGTTTCAATGTCCTCTTGAACAGATGAAACATGACAGACCAGTCCTGGGAGAAGGAACGCGGGAGGGGAGGGCTGCGAGAAGCGAGCTAGGGCAGGAGGAGCGAGAGGAGCAGAGAGGCTGAGGGGCTGGACTGATGTAGGGCAGGGGGTGTGTGTGGGGTTCCCTGCAATATCAATACCTGGTCCAAGGAATGTTCCAACTCTAACTAAAAAAAAAAAAAAAAAAAAAAAAAAGCAAGTGACTTTTTTTCCTTTTTAAAAGTTTATTTTAAAAACATGAAGAGGGCCAAGGGTGGCAGGGGAGAAAATAAGTTGTTTTCCTTGAAAGAAGCAGTTTTAGGGAAGACTAGGGGGTGGGGTATAGAGATTTTATATATATATATATAATTTTATAGGTTTTGTTTCACTTATTGTGTTTCTTATTAAAAAAATTTTTTTTGGCAGAGAGTTAATTCTCGCTATCTTCTATGGCTGGCTCAACATGAAGGATCCCAATTTTGAAAGAAAAGAAAGGATGTGAGACACAGAATGAACGAGAGAGTGAGAGCCGGGCATGACCTCCAACCACTCACAGAGAGGGCTCCCCTGCGCCCTGCCCCCATGGCAGCCATCGCTCTCTCGCCTAACAAATGGAGGGAAAAATCAAAAACCAAAATATAAGCCCCAAACACAACAAACAATAAAAGAATTTTCACAGATGAAGAAGTTCACATTCATTCGATTCATTGAGCCTGCGGAGAGGGAAGAGATAGGAATTGGTCACTACGGGAAGGGGCAGGCAGAGGTGGAAGATGGGGAAGGAAGGGGGCCAGGAAGCCCCTCTCCAAGCCAGTGGCTAGCAGGATGTGTCTGTAACTGTCTCTAGTCAAGTGCTCCAGGGACTCAGCTGAAGTCAGACTGGCTCCTTGATGGAGGAGGAGAAAGAGCAACACAAAGGCAAGAAGGAGAGAAGCAGGGGCCAAGGGAGAAAGAGAAGCAAAGTCAGGGTCTGCAAGGAGAAGGTGGTGGGTGGCTCCCGGCGCATCACAACATGAACAGTCTCAGAGATCACGGTGTCCCCACAACACCCCTGTGAGGTAGGTTGGAACGTGGCAGCGATCATCATGCCCACTTCACAGACAAGACCGGGACACAGACACGGGCGTGAGAGCAGAGGCCGAGCCCAGGGGCCGAGCCCCTTTGCAGGCTCCCTGTGTCCTGCTGGAGCCAGGGCCACCCCACGCTGGGGCTGCCTGCAAACAGTCACTTGGACACCGTCGGGGAGAAGATCGTGGGTTTAAAAACAAAAAGAACAAAAGCCAAAAAGTAATGCAGAAGGAAAAATATCCATTTTCTTCCCAAGTGGCCAGATTTTGAGTTAGCAGCCAGGATGGTGACCAAAGTGCAGTGCCCGGGCTGCCCACCCCCAGGACTACCCACCAGTTCAAGTTCCACCTTTTATCCGTCTCGCACTCTCCCCCAGCATCACGACAGCATTACACAGGAACAAGCGAGCCGGCGGAGGGAGGCCTCTTCTTTAACCTCTGGACCCAGCGCACACTTCCCCTGGCTCATGGGGACTCCCGGAGACCTCCAGCCACGCGGCCCCCGCTGCAGGCATCAAGGACACACCCCGCAGGGGAAGGGATTTCCGGCGCTACCCACTAAGGCAGGATGGACGGTGGCTGGGGGTTGGAAGGAAAAAGGAGGAGGAGGAGGGTGGCAATTCCCACTTGCCTGCTGCTGTCCCTGCTGTGTGGGTGGAGGCTGGGGGCCCCCAGGACCAGGGGTCTGTCCGTAGTAAGCGGCTTGCTGTCGGTAGTATTCAGCCCAGGCGGCACTATAGTCTGGCTGAGAGCCTGGGGGAGCTCCTGGACCCCCTCCAGTGGCCACTTGAGCTGTCGGGGAGAAGAGGGTGAGTGGGGCTGGGCAAGAGTGGGCCTGGCCCTGCCTTGCCTCAGGCCCCACCAATTCAGCCTGCTTTTTTAAAAAAAATTATGTTAAAGTACAACTTATATACAATGTTATATTAGTTTCGAGTATAGAAGTAATTCGCCATTTAAATTCCTTAGGATGTGATCATCATACTAAGTCATGGTACAAATTCATAATAATGACTACGTTCCCTACATTGTACTTGCATCACTGTGACTCTTTTTGTATAACTCACCCTGCTTCTTGTAGTACTCCTCCCAGGCCTTTGTGTAGTCCTGCTGTGGGGGAGCTCCAGGCTGCTGCGGCTGCTGGCCTGCAGGAGGCGGCACCAAGGTCAGAGGACCCCTCTTCCGCCCCTCTGGCTGATGTGAGCCCATGTAGCAGCCCACACACTCACCAATCTTTTTGTAATACTCTTCCCAGGCCTTCGTGTAGTCTGACTGGCCAGCAGGTGGGGGCTGTGGGGGCTCGCCCTGGGCAGGTGGGGCTGCGGGAGCAGGAGCGGGGCCGGGCACGGGGCCTGGGGGCTGCTGGTAGTAGTGTGAGTAGTAGGCGGCCCAGGCTGCATTGGGGTCTGCGGCGGCTGCGGCGGCTTTATCTGCAGGAGGAGGGCAGTGCAGTTGAGGGTTGACACAGAAAGCCAATCCTGGGCCCAAACCCCGCGCTGCCCCTCAAATGGGTAGCCTTACTTACTCGGGTCATGAGGAGCAGGTGGTTGCCACTGGGGGTAGGTATTGCCCCATCCCTGGGGTGGGTACTGGTGAGGAGGGGGACCACCGGCACTGTAGGATGAGAAAGATGGGGGACACATGAGCAGGGGCTGCTCCTTTGCAGGGTATGGGTGGCTAGTAGGAAGAAAGCCCAAGGAAAGATATGAGACAACTAAATGCATAGGATCCAGGCTATGAAATAAAGTATCACAAAATCAACATGCACAGATTTATGTATGGGGTGAAGACCAAGGTCAACACCTGTTGCATCTTATAAAAGGTGGTGTCTATGAAACAAAGCTGGAACGGATCGTGTTTGGGCCCGAACAATCATTGCTTCTGAAAGATGAGGACGGACCTCTCGGTGGTAAATGGAAACAGGGCCCATCACTTTTCTTGCCAGCATAGACACCATGTCACAAATCCCAGGCAGCTGAAGAGTACTCACTGAGGGGGAGCCCCTGGTGGCCCCTGATTGAAGGGCCCAGGATTGAAGGGCCCCATGGGGCCTGCAGGGCCTGGACCTCCTGGGCCTGGTCCGACTGGACAGAGGGGACCCTGGAAGGAGAATGTGACAAGGTCAGCGGGTGGGAGTCAAGAGCTAGGCCTAGGCCCCCAGAGCCCTCCATGAGCCCACCTCAATCTTCTCCTCGATGAGCTGCTTGGCGTGATCAATCTGCTGGGGCGAGCCCCGGATAATAAACAGTTTAAAGTTGGGGTCCCCATTGGGCGGCAATTGCCGGGAGATCTCTACAAAGGCGCCAGTCTGCTGGTTTATGGCTTTCACGTTCTCGCCACCTGCAGGGCACACAGGCAGTGAAGGGAGGGTGGGAGGAAAGAGTGGGTGAGGGACGAAAGGCAGGGAGAGGCCTCCTCACCTCGGCCGATGACTAGCCCACACTTGTGAGTGGGGATGGAGAAGGTCATCTCCCCACCAGGCGGGCCCCAGTTGCCTTGGCCCCTTCCTCGGCCACGACCCCCTGGGGGCATGCCAGGACCCCCCGGAGGACCTGGGGGACCACTCTGCAAGACAGGGAGACGGAGAAATGTAGGACCAGGCCCATCCTCTGCCCCCACCAGCTCGTCTCACCTACCCCATGCCACCTACCCTAAGGCTCTGGAGAAGGTCATTGATAATCCGCGCTGCATGCTCGCATCGGTCTGGGGGCCCCATTATGTGAGCTATCTTCTCGGGACCTGTCCCATCATCTGAAGCCAGCATCCAGAGAGCGGAGACACGATTTAAAAGAGAAGCACAACTCCAAACCACCACACCTTCTCAGGGCAGTACTGTGCCAAGCTAGGTGTCTGAGACATCTCAGACTCAGTGCCGCTCGCCTCACTCCACGTACTCAGGAGTGAGAAAGGAGGCAGGCAGGCCCCATGTCCCCAGAGAAGAAAATTGACCAGCTGGGCAGGGAGGTAGCTGAGGCTTCTTTCTGTAATTAGAACCCCCAGAACTAACGGATGCATTTTATAGAACAAAGAACAAATTTCTGAAAAGCAGGAAAGGGTCCCTCCACCCCACAGACCTGCCATCAGGCTCTCACAGGCTTGGCAGGAGCCCAGAGTTGGGTCAGTGATTTGATCCAGCCCAGAGTACCCAAGTTACCCAGGCTGCCTTGTTGAGATAGGGGATGTGCCCACAACCAAGGTACATGCCCTTGACCGGAATCGGACCTGGGACCTTTCAGTCCACAGGCCGTTGCTCTATCCACTGAGCCAAACCGATTTTGGTGGCCCTGACCTTGTTTAAACTGGATCCGCACACCGGCATCATTCTGGATCTTCTTAATCATCTCTCCACTACGCCCAATGACCACGCCAACAGAATGTCTAGGCACTGGCACCTGAGGGAGATGCAGAGAGAGGGTCAGCCGAGTTCTGTCCCCACAGCTTTGCTGCCCACTGGACATAAGGAGCTCCCCCCCACCCCCCAATAGCCCTCCATCTTCTGGGGGAAGCCCGCACTCACATCAATGCCCCCGCCAACCCGGGATCCATACTCATTCCGGTCCCCAAAGCCGCCCTGGTCTCGCTCCCGAAGAATGTCCATCACCATCTCACAGGCTTGCTGAAAAGACACAGAGCATGGTGCACATGGCAAGCCCTGCTGCCCCACTGCACCCCCAGCCTCCCGTAAACCAAGGGGTCACAGGCTTAAGCTAAGGACTGACACACAGATGCTGAGCTCTGTATTTGCCACTGAGAGGCAGGCATGGCCAGCAACACCATTTTCCAGATGAGAAAATGGAGGATCAGTTAGGACACTTCATGTACAAACCATTGTTGAAGGGAGAATTCAACACAAGAACATGAACACTGGGATGACTTCAAAACCAGTGCTTTTGTAAACCTCTCCACTTTTATTCAAATCTCCAGACAGCCCACCAGCTCTCGCTTCTCTAAAACCCACTATCAGCACCATCGCAGGGCACACTCACCTGCACTTTGTAAGGATCCCCAATGATCCGAAGGGGCTTGTCCACATTTGTATTTTGGGAACCATCTTGAATTAAAATCATCTTTACTCCAGCACGTTCCTTTAAAACCAATATCGAGGGGGAGATAAGAGATCAACCGAAGGACTTGTATGCATGCATATAAGCATAACCAATGGACGAAAAACTCTGGGAAGAAAGGGCATGTATGGGAGTGGGGGTGGGGTGGGGATTGTTAAGGTATGTACACATATAATACCTTAATAAAAAAAATGAGAAAAAACAAAACAAAAACCAATATCGACTATCAGTGTAGGACTTGCAAATAACTTTCTGGCGACCAGTGCATTTGGGGCAGGGTCCATGATCAAAAAGGATAAAAGACTGGGAAAGCAGCTGGGGGTGGGGGTGCTGTGCAGACCAGATACAGGATGGAAACTTTGAGATTAAAGGAACCTGTCTCCACTCCCTCACCTGTAGCTGTTTAATGGTCTCCCCGCCTTTCCCGATGACAAGGCCAGCCTTCCCTGCGGGGATCATAATCTCTTGCACTGTGCCATTCTGGCCCCCA